TCTCCAGGCTGAGCCCCCCCAGCTCCCTCAGCTGTTCCTGCTGCTCCAGCCCCTTCCCAGCTCTGTTCCCTTCTCTGAACACTCTCCAGCCCCTCAGTATCTCTTGGAATGAGGGGCCCAGAACTGGACACGGACCTCGAGGTGTCTCAGCAGTGCAAAGCAGGTGCAGGTGGTGCTGCTGAGCTGTGCCACATCCCACTGAAGGGATGGGAGCTTGCACAGGGAAGAGTAAGAGCATTCCAGGGTGGGGGAATGAGTTGGGACGAGGCATCAGTGAGCTGTCAGAAAATGTCAAGAATATTTCCTTTCACAACTGGAGCGGAGAGTCAGTGAACTATCCAGTGATAGCGGTCAGATGGTTCAGCGGGGGCCCTGGGAGCAGAAATGACTTGAAAGCTGGGTCTTTGAGCTAACAACACCATTACCCAACTGATGAATGGCCTCTGCTTCAAAAAGTCATTCATGGTGATCAAATGATGGTGTCCCACATACGGGATAATGGCTCTTCCCTGGAGTTTGTGAGGGTTTCAGTCTGAGCTGAACCCTTGAGTGGGAGCCCTCTCCTCACAATGACTGCTGGAGCTTTTCTCCTTATTAGCCCTGGAGGGAAAGGATAAAAAATCTATGGGATAAGAAAGCTGTGATAATAGAGTGATTGTCAGGCAGGCCTTGGAGCAGAGAGAACAGATTCTTTTAAAGGAATATTGCTGACAAGTGGACTTTGTCATCCAGAAAGTACTTGAGATTCACCACAAACAAGTAAGAAAAAGGCTCCATTTGGGCGGGGGGGGGGAGGGAACAGAGTAGGGGGGCAAAAGAGAAGGTCAAGGAAAAGTCTGTTCCCAGTACAGACAGAGAGCACTGTTGAGCCTGGCCTGACTGGGCAGCTGGGTTACCGGGCAGCTGTCAGCAGCCTGACCCTCAGATCCTCTTTCCCAGGAGCTGCAGCATCCAAAAGCATCTGAAACCGATGTTTTGTGCATCTGGAGGGACAGCCTGGGGTTACCTTTGAACAATGAAGACTCAGCAAAGTGAAGATCAGACGTGCCTTTAGTAAGGACCAGTCCTCAGGCTGCTGAAACACCGAGTGTGTGTTGGTCAGACTCTGAGAACAGCCGGGTCACAGTCGTTTGTCACCCGTTAACGTGATGGGAGAACGACACCGAATAATCCCATCACCTGCAGTGACCTTGGAGAGGCGGCCTTAGGGGATGGGGAATGCTGAGAATCCAGGGGCTGAGAGCGACGCTCCGTGCAAACACCTGCTTAAGACCAGTCACGAAGCAGCAAAGGCCGGTGAAGCTAATGGGTTTTTCACTCCCAGGAAGCAGGGACGGACCCGGGATAGGGCGCGGAAGGGAGCAGAGCGCTCCTCGGAGCCGGGATGTGCGGGGCACCGGCTGCGGGTGCGGGTCCGA